CACTCCTAGGACCCACTGAGAGAGGAAGAAGAAGTGTAAACGAATTGTGCGATATTTTGTTGAATACTCCATTTTTCATGTTTGTTTCTTGGCACGAGAAGAATGAATCTTTCATTGGATTTTTGAAATTTAAAAACTTTAAAATGGCGACGAAAAAATGACGCACAATCCATATCACGGCTGTTTATCAATGGATTTGCACATAAGTCAAGACTCGGGTGGTTTTTGGCTCGGAAAAAATTAATCTTTCATCAGATTTTTGAAACACTGAATATCTTCAAAATGGCGGCGGAAAAATAACGGAAAATCCGCATCCACCATCGCCGTTCGCATTTTTGCCGCCATTTTAAAGTTTTTAAAAATTTCAAAAATCCAATGAAAGATTCGTTCTTCTCGTGCCAAAATACCCCCGGATACAAAGTCTCATACAAATCCGACGATAAGCAGCCTGAATATCCACTTCCCGCTCTAAGCCGCCATTTTGAAAAGGACTGACATTTCTGGAAAACTAATGCCAGAATCGTTTTTTTCGGAAAAACCCTAGGATTGTGAGTTTCAGACCAATCCGCCGATAAAAAACGGAGATGCCAAATTTCCGCCATTTTGAACTTTGACCGGCCGCCATTTTGTCAAAAATCAACATTTTGACCTGCGGTTTGCGCCAAAAATTTTCTTTCTTTATTATCTTTCGAATGAGGTATCACAAAAGGGGGGTTGCCATTTGAAAAAAAAAGTTAGCCCCCGCCCTCCAAAATATTGGGGGACCAAAAAGTTGCTACCTTAAACCGAGGAACATTCCCAAAGTTTCAAACTTCTATCTCAATTAGGAATAAAGTTACAGGGGTGGTAGGTGACTTTTGGATAACCCTGTATATACGTGCACATACGTGGATGCAAATACTTAAGAAATTTACTATTCTTTAGAGCGAGTTGGCATCATGTGATACTTAAAAATGAATTTTACCATTTCTTATCATCATTTTTAGTATTATCTATTTGTGTCTGTGCACAATGTCTTGAAAATTGGAGGTGAATTTGTGAACCCTGAATCAAAGTCCAATGAAAGCCCAAAAACATCTGAAAAATGGCCAAATTTTCCCAGAAAATCGTGATTTCCGTCCGAACGGGCAACATCGGGCAGATGAACCGTTGATTTTCTGAAAGTACACATACCACTGAATAAATTCACGAGCACAAAAGTTCGGTTTTTGACGGTGCTTTTTTTTGACACTCCATGAAAGTGGAAAAAAGGGTAAAAAATTAGCAGTATTTCAAAATGCAATATTCGCCACAAAAAAAAAAAAAAGGATTTAAAAATTGGAAGAACCAAAAATAAATAGTGCCTACCAGTAGAAATGAAGCTGCCAGGAAGGATAGAATGGCATTGAAGCCTGTTGATCAGGATGCTCCTCATTGTTGTCATCTGCAATCGGCTTCTAATCAGGAGCGCAGAACTGGCTGAAGTTTGGCCGAAAACGACCACCTGTGTGGGCACTAGGTATCGATAAAAATCGATACTATCGCTGACAATAGTGTTGCCAGATGTACCACTAAACGTTCACCACATAATTTTTGGAAGATTTCGGCTTTCATTTAGGGGGGATTTTTGTCACCATTCAACGCACTGTGCGGCGGGGGGCCCCCCAATTTTTTTTTCAAATAGCAACCCCTATCTTGCGATACTTCATTGGAAAGAACTTAAAAAACTCAGAATTTTAGCGCAAACCGCAGATCAATATCTTAATTTTTTACCGAGTTATGACAGGTCAAAGGTCAAATTTGACCTATTTTCAAAAAATCATAACTCCGGTTCAAATTATTGTAGAGAAAAAACAAAACGGGAAAATTTACCAAATTGTAAGCACTCTTAAGTTGTAAGCACTTAAACCACAGAAATTACTTCAAGCTAATTTTAAGATGGTTTTCGGACCCCCAAATACGTCAGTTTAATGGTCATACGATTTTCCCGCGTTTTGAGCCAATTTCCCCTTACTTTGCCTCAACATTATCTCGGTGAGTTCAAAATTAGTTCAACATTGCGTTTTCGAGTCCCCAAATTTCGGGCAAAATTCTAAAAACGAAATTTAAACGGTTGAATTGATTCACCTTAAATTTCGTTTTTTGAACTTTGCCCGAAATTTGGGGACTTGAAAACGCAATGTTGAACTAATTTTGAACTTACCAAGATAATGTTGAGGCAACGTAAGGGGAAATTGGCTCAAATCGTGGGAAAATCGTAAGACCTTTAAACTGACGTATTTGGGGGTCCGAAACCCCCCTTAAAAATAGTTTGAAGTCATTTCTGTGATTTTTACCTGAAAGTGCTTACAATTTGTATATTTTCTCGTTTTGTTTTTTCTCTTAAGATAATTTGAACCGGAGTTATGATTTTTTGAAAATAGGTCAAATTTGACCTTTGACCTGTCATAACTCGGTCAAAAATTATGATATTGATCTGCGGTTTGCGCCAAAATTCTTAGTTTTTTAAGTTCTTTCCAATGAAGTATCGCAAGATAGGGGTTGTAGATGGGGAAAAAAATTGGGGGCTCCCCCGCCCCCCTAAGGGAGGGACAAAAATTTTAACCCCCCCTGGAAGATGGTCTCCTTAAAGATAGAAACATTTCCAAAGTTTTGTTTTTCTATCTTTAAACGTTCAAAAGTTACCAGGGGGTACGGACTTTTGGGACACCCTGTACATACAGGGGGGGGGGGGGGGGTACGGACATTTGGGACACCCTGTATAACGGCCCGGATCGAAAAATACCTGTCTGTAAAAGTTGTAGATCGTTCTTCTAGCGTTGATCTGGTATATTACATTATATGGTTGTTATCAAAATTGAAGGAACAAGAAGGTAACAACAAAGGGGGTCGGCGCGCGGCCTCCTGGGTCTCGAATCGCAAAATGGCGATTTTGAGTAGCAATATGGGACGTGACGTGCATATCTGTAATTTTTTGCGTACTTTTCATTGGAACAGGCGAAAATTGCCTAGACCCACTGTTAGTGGGTCATTCTGGACGATTTTTGGGGTATTTTAGCAATTTTTTACCTGTAACTAGAAAACTGTTAATTATGTAACAAAAACGATTACAGATTCATAAAGAGTGTTAATAGTCCGTTGGAAATCATTGGTTGGATATTTTCTCCGCTTAAACTGTCAACTTGAAAAACAGCTCTAAACTTGAGTAAACCGAAAAAACTGCATTTTCCATGACTAATTAGTCTCCATTTTCACCCAGCACAATTTTTCAACATCACCAAAATTCAATAGATTAAAGTTACATATTAGTACATGAAACTCGCCAAATACTACGGTGTGGACAAATTGTGCTCATAGTTAAAAACGGACTTTTGTTAAATGGAACCATCCTTGAATCAAATACGAAAATTCTCCAAGTCTCCGGGAAGATTCGCTAATCATTCATAAGATACCAGTGTCCGGGTAATTTTTTGCGTACTTTCGATTCGAACGAGTGAAAATTGTAAAAAATCATGTTAAGAGGGGCCATACAGAGCATTTTTCGCGAAGTTTGGGGGTTTTGGGGGGGTTTCTTTGGGAAGGTTTGGAGGTTTTTGGGGGTTTGGGGAGCATTTTCAGTTTTTAGTACAACAAAAACAATAACAAATTCAGAAAAACGCAAACAATTTGAAAGGATTCGATACTTGACACTCTCTCTCAGCTTGGACTGTTCACACAAAAAAGGGTCTCGAACTCGAGAGACTGGAAAAACGGCCTTTTCTCCAGCTCACCAGTCATAATTTTCATCCTGGTTAGTTAACTGGTTAATTAATGTCCTTTCGAATTGTTTGCGTTTTTTCTTAATTTTTTCTTGTTTTTGTTGTACTACAAACTGAAAATGCTCCCAGGAAAATCTCTAAACCCCCAAACTTCGCGAAAAATGCTCTGTATGGACCCTCTTAACATGATTTTTTTACAATTTTCACTCGTTCAAATCGAAAGTATGCAAAAAATTACCCGCACACTGGTATCTTATGAATGATAGGCGAATCTTCCCGGAGACCTGGAGAATTTTCATATTTAATTCAAGGATGGTTCCATTCAACAAAAGTCCGTTTTTAACTATGAGCACAATTTGTCCACACCGTAGTCTTTGGCGAGTTTCATGTACTAATATGTAACTTTAATCTATTGAATTTACGCGATTTTTCAAAATTGTTCTGGGTGTAAATGGAGACTAATTAGTCATGGAAAATGTCCAACAAATGATTTTAATGGACTTTTAACGCTCTTTTTGAATCTGTAATCGTTTTTGTTGTATAATTAATCGTTATTTAGTTACAAGTGAAAAATTGCCGAAATAACCCCAAAAATCGTTGAAAATGTCCAGAATGACCCACAAAAAATGGGTTTAGGCAATGTTCGCCGGTTCCATTGAAAAGAACGCTAAAAATTAAGTGAATGCACCTCCCATATTGATGAAGCTAAGGTTTTTTGGGCTCATCATATAATTAAACCCTTTTTTCAGGCGAAAAATTGAGTCGGCTGTCTTGGCAGAAAAAAGATGCACAATCGCAAAAACGTTATGCGCTAGAATGCACCTACCCTAGGGTACTTATAATATGGGTTCAGATGATTTTTAGAAGTAGGGCCAAAATCGGCCTTTATCGATACCCCTTCTTTCTAGATTCTGGGGTGGGAGCGGGGGGGGGGCAGAAAAAGCTCTCAATGGGGGGCCGAAAAAGTCCCTTATCGATTCCCCTCCTTTTTAAACATTTTTTTATAGCGTGATTAATGTTGCAATGCCCACCCCAAAAAACTTTAATTTGAATCGTACTTTTCTGCACAATTCGGCTAAAAACTTTACCGTTCAAATTCTCCTTTTTATACTACTGGGAAGAGTGAGTGTGGACTGTAGTTCCTAGCGCCAGACTGTGCAGTAACATCCTTCACTAGCTTATCTAACCTTGCTCTTATCTCTTTAAGTGACAGGTGTTCACAACTTCATATTTTTTACTGTTTTTTTGTCTGTCTTTGCACAGGTTATTGATGAAACATGGAATGTACTTAGGTTGTTGACGGACACAGATACTAGTAGTTCACTGCCTCGAACTCAGGAGGCTCTGCAAGAGTTGCGTGATCTCTCGTCAATGGCTATGGAGCACTTTGATGAAAAAGTGGCTCCTGCACTGAAGCAGAAATCTGCAATTAGAAGATTTTCTGTATATTGTGGTAATCCTCTTCCCTCTTTTTATTTTAACATATTTCATAGTCATTTATAATCAATTCACAATGATTTGTCTCTAAACCAAGTGAAAACCTTTCCAAGAAGTGTGAGTAGATCCAACCCTCATAATGGAATAATAGCTTCAGAACTCATATTATTAGAATAATGCCTCTGCTAGTAAGTTAGGAAGACACTTATATGAGTCAGTACATAATTTAATTTAATAAACTTTTGACAGGATATTTTTTGTCCGGCATGGTGTCCCATCAAAGTGGGGCAAACTTTAAGAGGGTAGTATATGAATCTAAATGATTAATCCAACGCTTAGCAGATTGTAAGACGGAAGTTGGGTTTGACTTGATCGAGGATTATCGTCGGAATTTTTAAATTTTTAACCTGCTCTGTCTAAAAGGGGTGTCCTTAAACTTTTGCGCAAGGTTGATAGGAAAGATAAACTCCTACTTCTTGCAACTCTTTCGAGGCCCAGAAAATAATGGATCTCAATACCATACATGAAACAAAAACCGTGTAACGATCCAAGAAATAAAGGGTCACTTTCAAAGTAGCTGGACAGGTTTTTGTTCACACAGCGACAATCGCCTTGAGAGGGTATATGTATGAAAAAAAAAGGCGCTCCGCGCCGTTTTATTTGGAGGAATGTGCCTCCCTGATGCGCGCGTTTTTTGGTTCAGTGTTAGTTTTAGTGTCCAGCCTCACTTGTTGTGTCTTCTTAAGCGACCCGCGCGTCTACCGCGGGAAGAGTGTATTTTCCGAAGGAAGGGGGGATCAATCTTTTGAGGTTATATTTCCGTTTACACTTTTGGAGGAATTGATTATTCCATGGACTTCATGTTGCCGGATTGCAATTAAAATCCCTCATGTAATGTCAGGTATGAAAAAATTTCAATAAACGATGTGGCGAGCTTGAATGACGATGGCTCAATCTCCGTGACTCACAGTGCGACAATATTGCCGTCGTGTCCACCAATTTTCAGTTCGTGACCCACTGTGCGACAACATTGCCGTCTTGTCCGCAAATTGTCAGTCCGTGACCCACTGTGCGACCCTGCTCCCCTCTAGCCGCGCACCCCCCNCCCCCCCCCCCCCCGTCTAAAACTTTCAAAGCTCGCCATTTTTATACGGCGCAGCCGATTTCGCTCAAATTCAATACCAGCTTTGTACTTAGTAAGATCTACCTCCTACAAAAGTTTCGGGGGAAAATCTCATTATTTGCGCGAGTTATCGCAACCACAAAATTGAACCCCCTCCCCCATTTCTCGCCCCCACCATTTGAAATCTAATGCTGCGATCTCAGTTTTTTTTTCGCAAAATGATTGTCCTATTCTTCCACTTCATATCGCAAAAATTTTTACCCGAAAAACGTTGAAAGTAAGGGAAATATAACACAGCAAAAATCGAAAAAATCACGATGTGTAGGAAATACGTACATGAATAAATGCATATATAAATGACGAGAAAAATTTTCGTAGCCCGAGTATTATATACATACAGGAAACACAAAATAGGTACAGAAAACATTTTTTTGGGGCTATATAGCTCCCATCTTCAGCCGAAATTTAAAAAAAAAAAGGAAAACGAAGCCAAAACGATCGTGACAGATCTGCCACATGGCACGGGCCGGACTCAATCGGCCGTAATCAAGTCCGGTCCGTGCGTTGTAGCGAATCTGTCACGATCGTTTTAGCTTCATTTTCCTTTTTTTTTTAAATTTCGGCTGAAGATGGGAGCTATTTAGCCCCGAAACGTCCTGAAAAATGTTTTAAACTTGTTTTAGCCTTGAGCCTGTACCTATTGTGTGTCTCATAACTTATATAAAAATGAATTCGAATGGCATGCATTTGTTCGTAATCTACTACCCATGATAGGTGCTCATTACATGGTCTTTGGTTCAGGTCTGACATCAGGGGAGAATGCAATAGTGTATTTCCTTCGGAAATTACACTTAAACGGAGAATAAAGGGAACAGTTGAAAACGAAGAAATTAAAACGAGGAGTATGATGAACTACATAATCATCTTAACAGCATAGATATCCCAGTAGGCATTGACCCTGGCATTGGGGACACCTAGCTCAACATCTGAGCAAAGTTCGAGCCAAAACCTGGGGAGGCCAAAATCTGCGTTTTTAGAACGACCTCTTTTGGTATTAGATTGTAATTTTAACATCTTGTTCTTACAATCATCTCTATCCATTACTGCAGTTTTGTCTGATATATCAGCGTATAAGACTAACAGGTCATCCTTTTTTGAGGAATTTCATTGTTCTAATCATTTGATCATTTTAGAAAATTATTTTTGATCGTGACTTAATTTACTGTTTCGGTTGGAAGTGTGTCCTTAGCCAACCATGTCAAGTTACAACTATGCTTGAGAAAACACTTAAATTGTGGCCTGAACTGTGTGTAACAACGTGATGAAATAGTTCTGGGTTTACATTATTTTGTGAGATTCTTTCTTACTAACTCTTCATTCTAGCGAAATTTAGTTGTTGTGGTTTAGTGTAAGCCACCAAACTCTATTTTATTTAGTCTAAAATTTTAGTAACTGGTTACTTTCGCATAGTTAGAAGCTATACTTTATAAAGCTTTATATCTAAATTATTAAATTTTTGTTTGTCAACAAAGGACTCTGCACACCTCTTATGGGAAGCTGCACCATGACCGATTGCCTTCTGACTTATGTCATTCGACTCTCCTCAAGATGCTGATCAAAAGTTATGGTTGCGCCAACTTTCTACAATGCACCGTTTTCGCTAAAAACCTAAGAGAAGATTCAATTATTCGGCGATAAAAAGCCAGAAACATTCCTCATTTCAGTGCCAGATTGACAAGCGGCTGTGTGTCAACAAGGAAATCATGCGAACTCCCGCACCGAGCGGCAGTCTTATCTCGGATTCCGCACGCCGTTTTGCTCGACCATCCGAATCAGATTACACAATACACAGCCCTGCGTTTTTTTGGTCATGTCCCGTTGCATGGCATATCTTGATTGAATCTTGTGTATTTTTTAGCGCTGAGTTCGGGAAAAATATCCAAAAAATTCCATCACGTCAGGATTTTCCGCAAATTAAAAATTTTGGTTTTTTGGAGGGAAAAATTTCCGAAAAATTGAATTTTTTTTTTTTCAATCTGACCATTGATTTTGGTCTCTAGTATCTTTACTAAGTATGAAATATCTATTGCACGTCAAAAGGAAGCCTGAAAGAGTGATAAATGTCCGAATTTCGTCAAATTTTATGCATTTTTTGGTGATTTTTATCACAAAAAAAATCGTTTTCCGGTCAAAATTTTTAAAAGTACAACTCGAAAAAAATTTATTCCCCCATAATTTACTTCCCTTAGTACCCCCTAATCACCTGAAAAAGTAAACACAAGTTTTTAAAGTATTGGGAAGAGGGGGGAGGCGCCTAGATGTCATGAGAGCTCCACGGGGGTCGCGGCTTATTTCCGCAGGGCGCCGTTTCGCGCAGGTTCCGACTGAGTTGCACGTACATTGTTGATACCCCGACGCATTTTCACAGGTTTCAACTTGTCTAGCGTTCTATCATGAGTTCAGTGGGATTTTATCCTGACTTATCAGTGCTGAAATGCCAGACAAAGTGGTATGTTGTTTGTCCGAGATTCGGTTCTTTTTTGTGGTGAAAATTCGTAATTTCGGCCAAATGACCGAATCTTGGCGCCTCCCCCCTCTTCACAATATTTTAGAAACTTAAGTTTACTTTTTCTGGTGATTAGGGGGTACTAAGGGAAGTAAATTATGGGGGAATAAATTTTTTTCGAGTTGTACTTTTAAAAATTTTGACCGGAAAACTGATTTTTTTTGTGATAAAAATCACCAAAAAATGCCTACAATTTGACGAAATTTGGACATTCATCACTCTTTCAGGCTTCCTTTTGACGTGCAATGGATATTTCATACTTAGTAGAGATACTAGAGACCAAAATCAACGGTCAGATTAAAAAAAAAAAAAAAAAATTCAATTTTTCGGAAATTTTTCCCTCCAAAAAACCAAAATTTTGAATTTGCGGAAAATCCTGACGTGATGGAATTTTTTGGATATTTTTCCCGAACTCAGCGCTAAAAAATACATTAGAATCAATCAAGACATGCCATGCAACGTGACATGACCAAAAAAACGCAGGGCTGTGTTATTGAGGAGCATAAGAACAGGAAAGTCTGAACGTCTACCGGGCGAGTGCGGGAGGGAGATAGCCCCTGAGTCGGCAGGTACAGATAAGAAGACGGACACGCGCTACGTTTTTCCCTTATTTACATCGGGCCTGTCCTCAAATGCTTTGTTCTTTTTTATTCATAGTCGCCGAATAATAGAATCTTCTCTTAGGTTTTTTGCGAAAATGGTGCATCGTAGAAAGTTGGTGCAATCATAACTTTTGATCAGCATCTTGAGGAGAATCGAATGACATAAGTCAGAAGGCAATCGGTCATGGTGCAGCTTCCCATAAGAGGTGTGCAGGGTCCTTTCAAAAATTTGAGCTCAATCGAGTATCTGTACAAGTCTGAAGGGTAGGAGAGTTCAGCTCAGGCAGATGCATCGAAATACGATCCTTTATTGACGTAAAAAAAAGAATTTACTTGTATTAACAACAGATAATTTTGAATCCTAGATTGGCTGCCCTTTTGGGTTTTAACTGTAATCTTGGAGGCATCCGTGAAGGCCCGGTGGATTTTTACATATCTGTCCATACTCTTCCAATCTAAGTAATCTTGGCTTCGTATTATCACTCATAATTTTTAGTCTTGAGTAAAATTTAGTCACAAAAACAAAAATGAATTGTGGTATTCTTCAGCCTTTTTTAAGCTTTGCTTTTTTTTTACCATAGATTCGCCTGTTCCTAGTGATATAATCTGTCCTCACTCAGAAATTGGAAGGCTGAGGCTGCAAATAAATAGGTTGAGACAGGAAAAAAAAAAACTTCTCAGAAGAGTAAGTATTAACTTATTGAGTGTTAGTCTACAAATACACCTTACCATTCATGAATCACTTTGATCAGAAATTGACCATCTAACATATCTTTTATGAAGCTAAATTTGTGGAAGTGCAGGCCAGAAGTTACCAATTTCTCCTCTTTATTTGCCAGATGATAGTTACAATATGATGAGATTAAGCGAAAAGAGAAACTTTGGGAATGTGACTCTGAGTTTATAAAGCCTCATATGTATAGACAGCATCCGCTCTCTCTTTTTCAAGTTTTGAGAAAATCATGTTCTAAGTTTTTATTTGCCAAATACAGTTACAATATGATAAGATTAAGCGAAAAGAGAAACTTTGGGAATGTGACTCTGAGTTTATAAAGCCTCATATGTATAAATAGCGGATATCTCTTTTTCAAGTTTTGAGAAAATCATGTTCTAAGGTTTCAAAACTGTGTTTCTATGTACGTGCAGCAAGTGGGGTGAAATCAAGGAATTTATTATACGAGGGTTGTACAAAAAGTAAACCCCACACACTCCTTATTGGTATGAAATGAGAGGAACACGGGGTACAGGCTGTAAATAAAAGTAATTTGGACAGGACGTTTCGGGTTTCACATTCCCTTTTTCAACCGCCGAAAAAAAAAAACAAAAAACAAAAGTTGAAATTTACATATAAATGAGCCGCCGCTTAACAGTAAGGCAAGACTCTTAAGGCTACTCTCAGTAAGTCTTGCCTTACTGTTAAGTGGCGACTCATTTATGTGTAAATTTTAAATTTTGTTTTTTGTTTTTTTTCGGCGGTTGAAAAAGGGAATGTGAAACCCGAAACGTCCCGTCCAAATTACTCTTACTTACAGCCTGGACCCTGTGTTCCTCTCATTTCATTTTCATATTTTGGGCTGATTAAATTGTTATCTATATTATTTATCGGTATGTGTACCACGATCGATTTTCAATTTTTTTATTGTTTTAAATTCAGCTATGGATGCTGATCAAAAGTCATCTTGGCCCCAACTTTCTATAAAGCACCGTTTTCGTACAATCCGCCGAAAAAGTTTTGATAATTACTTGCATAAAAGGTGATGAGTACTCGAGTACGGTTCGGGTCGTTCGGGTGAGTGTAAATCATGTAAACAGGAAGACTAGTCAGCAGCCTAGCGACAGTCTTATCTCGGATTCCACATGTCTTTTCTTTTCACTGTCCAAATCAATTTCTTTCTCTCTCCCTCTCTATTGTCCTTATCAGACAGACACGCACTGCGTTTTGATTTTAGCCGGCCTCTCTTGGAAATTACCGAAACTACAATAGCAGATTGTGCAAAAACAGTGGCTCGTAGGAAGTTGGTGCATTGATGACTTTCGATCAGCATCAATTGACGATTTTAATTTTATAAAAAAAAATTAAAAATCAATTTTGGTACACCAGGGTGGAACGAAAAACACTTCTCTTCAAAATCGCTTGACGGCTGTATCAGAAAAGTTGTCTCCAGTAATATAAACGGACCCAAGTTTTTCTCTTTTTCCCAAATTCTAACTCCTTCCGGTGGCACGGTCCACCTGAAGTTTGGACTTTTATGAAAAAATCACGTTTTTCCTCCTTGAAAACGGGCCAGCACCGTTTGATTTCAACTGTATGTCTTGAAACTGACGTGTCCCCATGATTTTGATACGCCAAGTTCATTCATGACCATTGCAATGTTGCCAGAAATACGTAAATGAGTCAGTTAAGGTCGGGAGGGATTTGCCTGCAAATGGTCGACTCTTACAGTTTTCGGTTCGAGAAGAACGATGTGCACCTTAAAATCTTACGAAAGTTTATCTCCGCGGAGATATAACGCTTTCTTTCTAGGGGTCGTCGAAAACATGTTTGAACCGATCGCCGTGAAACCTCGAATCTACGCGTCATAGATAGAAGATGGCGGTGGTGAAACCAACCTGCTTACTACCACCACGCTGTCATTGTTGACATCTGGATTTCGCGTTTGAGGTTAAGGAAACTCTATGTGCTCTGTTGTTGTGTTGTGATAACGTGAGTTGAAATTACGTTGTGCAAGGACATTAATGACTGTTTAATGCTCTCACTATGATGCATGAAGTGTATTTTCTTCGGAATATGCTCTAAAAAAGGTGGGGAAACGTTCTGAAAGAGTTAAGAAATGACACAAACAAATAAACCCACATAACCTCAATCAGTATTTACCGGCAACGTGAACGCGACGCCACCGTGTAGTCTCCCACTAAGCATTCCGCCGCCATATTGATCATGATACATCATGATTGATCGTGTACATTCGAAACCCACGAGCGGGCGGTTCAACGCCGTTTTAGGCCTCCCTAATTTTTGGCACTTTCAAATAAACTTTTCTCCCGTTTTCAGTCATCAAAAAAAATTAGAAAAAAACTGTAAGCTTCAGTCACTTACTACTTTTGAATGACACAATAAAAAAAAATGACTTAACTGACTCAATGTATCCCGCATCGCACAATTGTAAAATGTGTGATCCCTATAATTATTCAGAGTTTTGACGATTAGATGATTTTTTTAAGGGACGAAGCAGTCACGCTAGAACCCCAAAAATTTGAGATTATAGCCTCCTAACACATTACTTTTGATATAAATTGAACATTTTGCCGTGCAAGGCGCGCAAGTATTTTTTGAAAATTCGGAAACTTGACCGAAGACGTTGTTTAGGCGCAAATGGGATACATCTCAGCGAGTAGACTGATTTTTTAAAGTTTGAAGGAATGTCCTTCTATCGTTGTAAAAACTCAAGATAGTTGACTTCTAATACACTACTTTTGATATACAGGGTGATCCAAAAGTCTCTTCCACCCCCTCTAACTTTTTACCTAATTGAGGTAAAGATTTGAAACTTGGGGGATATTCCTAGATCAAAGGAAGCTACTTTTTGGCCCCCCAAAAATTTTCAGGGGGCCCCCTTGGGGGGGCAACGGCCCTTAACTTTTAATTTTCATATAGGAAGACCCCCTTTGTGATAGCTCGTTCGAAAGAGCATAAAAAAAGAAAACTTTTCGCGCAAACCCGAAGTCAATATCTCAAACCGTTTCAAAATGGCCGAAAATTCACACCGGTTATTTGTCGATGGATTTGCGCGAGAATCGGTATGTCGGGGTATTTTGACACGAGAAAAACGAATTTGACGTTAGATTATCAAAAAAACCGAAATTTCCAAAATGACCGCCGGTTAAAGTTCAAAATGACAAAAAATTGATTTTTTTATAAATCTAAGTTCAAATTTGTTTATCTCATGCCAAAATACTCTCAAATCTCAAGTTTTAGGCAAATCCATCAGGAAAAAACCGAGGTGAAAATTTTCAGCCATTTTAAACTTTAACCGGCGGCCATTTTGGAAATTTTGGTTTTTTTGAAAATCTAACGTCAAATTCGTTTTTCTCGTGTCAAAATACCCGCACCAACCGATTTTCGCGCAAATCCATCGACAAATAACCGGTGTGAATTTTCGGCCATTTTGAACTTTAACCGGCCGCCATTTTGAAACGGTTTGAGATATTGACTTCGGGTTTGCGCGAAAAGTTTTCTTTTTTTATGCTCTTTCGAACGAGGTATCACAAAGGGGGTCTTCCCATTTGAAAATTAAAAGTTGGGGGCCGTTGCCCCCCAAGGGGGGCCCCCCTGAAAATTTTAGGGGGGCCAAAAAGTAGCTTCCTTTGATCCAGGAATATCCCCCAAGTTTCAAATCTTTACCTCAATTAGGTAAAAAGTTAGAGGGGGTGGAAGGGACTTTTGGATCACCCTGTATATTACACATTTGAGCGTACAGGAAGCGGAAGTATTTTTTAAATTTCGGAAGTTTGACCGAAAACGCTGTTTTAAAGCAAAAATATATTTCGGAGAGAATTGATTTTTTTTTTTTAAATTTCGGAGAAATATTGCCAGCTGGGTATGAGGCGAAGGTAGTCTACGTCTAACAACATAGTTTTAAGACAAAATAATAGTTTTGGTCCCAGATACAGAAATTTGGAAAACTTCTGAACCGACCTAAAAACGTAATATCGGACTTAAATATCCCTAGAATAATTTTTTTTTTTGATCTGCAAAGGACGGGAACAAAGTTTGCTGCTCTCATTATTTGACATGAATGACAAGGACAGGATAAAATTTCGTTGATAGAGTAAAGAAGAAAAAAAACCAGGAGAAGAAAGATACAATTTAAGCAGGGATTATGAAGTCGCGTTCACTAGACATTGCCGCGCGCGGAATCTTGGGGAAAGTCTTTGTAGTATTTTTTTCATTTTGCTGCCTTGTCTCCTCTCCTTTAATTCGTATCGGCTGTGCTGGGTGCATTGTCTGAGGTCCAAAAAAACACAGAAGGCAGTTCAGTTGTTAGCATTTTGATTCGTCGATGGTGTTCTTAGTTAGGTGGTAAGCTTCAATAATTGTAGAAAATGCATTAAGGAGTGGAAAAGTGAAGATATAGAGAACACAAAAATCCTTATCATTATTTTTGGTATATTTTATGAAGTTTACCTCCGCATCGTGATCGAAAACCTGAGGAAATTCACGTGTTGTTAAGGGATATCACATTAAGAGAATCAATGCGTAATGCACTCTGGAAGCAAATATCGGGATATAAAACATCTGTCTCTGGGACCAAAACTAATATTTTTTGTTAAAAAGACGTTGTTAGAAGTACCAAGCAAGAAATGAGGTGTATCAGGTGAGGTCATTTGTGAGATTTAATTCGGACGAGCACTGGAAGATCAGCATCAGGACATCTCTCAAAAGTATGGATTGGGACATCTTTGCCACTGCTATCGAAACTAAGCTCATTTCCCACTGTGAAAAATGTGTCCTATGAGTAGGACATTATGTCGAGAAAAGTTAGGAGAGAGGTGCAGTCCCTAAAAAAAGGTATCAGCATATTCTTTAAATCGTTGATCTTTTGCTTTCTGTACCTCTTTTCATGAAGTTGGCAGGAAATGTTAGGGATGGCTCCCACAAAAAGTAAGTTTTCTCAGTGACTACTG